AGAGGTGGATTCCTCTGGAGGGCCGTTCAGGAGAGAAGGTAGGGTGCAGCGTGTAGGGTGCAGCGTCTCTTCTTCCAGGGTCTCCAGGCCACCCACTGTTGTTGCCGTTTCTCCCAGGAAGCAGACAAGAGGCCCCAAAGTTTCCTTCCTTCCGCCTCATTCCTGTGTTTATAGTGCTGCAGGCACAGGGTTGTACCATTCAGGATGTTCCCCAGCCAATCCAAGTCTTTTTGGACTCCAGCCTCTCTGCTCTCCTACTCCCCTGTGGATGGACCAGCATCATTCAGACAAACTTGCTTTTTATTTTGCTAAGCAACAGCCTGTTTCCTGTTCACTGCGCTGACCCTGCTCCCTGTGCCAGTTGCAGCCCCAATCCCATTGTTTCGCCTCCAGCTGGATTGTCCCACGACCCCTTGGCATGTGCACTCGGCTGGAGCTCACGGTGAGCTCTTGTGGTCATACTGTCCCCAAGCTTTCTGAGTCTGTAGCTCCCGAGGCAGGTCTCAGTCTTGAACCGGAGACCAGGCTTTGTACAAAATAAGTGTATACGCATAGTGTTATGCTCCTTCACAGAGTGCTGCCTTACCCAGGAGGAGAGCACAGAGAGCATCCTCACCTTATCTCTGCCCTACAGGTGTTTCAGTTTGAAGAGGAGATCTAACAGCTGCAGTTCACTCCAGCTGTATCACACAGTCCTCTGTGGGCCAGTTCAGGGCCAACTTACACACGCACTCACCGGTGGAAATGAGGGTTGAACATTGGTCAGGCAGGTCAAAAACTGCATGGCTTGAGTCCTTCGGGGTTTTCTCTAGCTACCAAGAGGCTGTGGCTCTAGCCCTAGGTGATGGGAACATATGCTCTCTAGTTTGGGAGCTTCTTTCCACATGCTAATTTTTTACCTGTTAGTCTACTGATTATACTGAACTTTTCCCTGCGTATCTTACCATTATCGAAAAGAAAATCTGGTCTTGAAACTACTTATTTTTAAAATAAGGAAGTTCTTCTATTTTAGTGCAATGGCCATTTCGTATCAAAATGCACCACTAATTTATCCTCCAGTACCAAACTGAGCTCTTAAATATGTGGGGCCTAGTATATTTTCCTTTTCTTTAGGAAAGACTGATGCATAACAAGGACACTAGGGTTTGGGGCTTTTTTTTTACCTCCCACACACACACATAGTGGGCAGATAAAAATCCTCTCTCTCCTTTTTCTCCGCCCTCCCCCCCCAGCTTTGTTCAGTTCAGAGCTGCTGGTGCCAATGGCTGAGGAAAAGGTGTAAGTGCACCTGGATAAACAAGTGAACAGGAACCGGAGCAAGAACATAAATCACTCTCCGAAACTAGGCTGCCCTTCGCTTCTTTCCATGGGTCTCGAAAAGTAC